CTCACCGGCTTCTCTCTTAATCAGGTGGGTAAACAGTGAAGAGTCCTGCTTTGTGCTTTTATTGTAGGCTAGTATTTTCTTTCCCCTTCTGTTTCAGTGTCTGTTTTTCTTACTCCTTTTCTTCTCTATATATTGGCTGGTATCTTCCAGGTAATTTATTTTACCTTCTGCCTCTGATTGGGGTACACCAGGGACTTGTATAAGGCTGAACCCTTTAACTTCTCATCAATATTGAAATCCTAAGGGCTCTGTTGCTCAACCAAATAAATTATTCATATTTTTAAACCTGGGTGGTATACATAGAGCAAAATAAAGGGTTAAAGAAAATAAAGGGAAAATGATTTAACAGGAAAACTGAAAGAAACAAGTAAAAGCCTTCAAAAGGCTTTTTGTCTTGCTAGGAAAAGCTTAAGGCCTATTAAGCATCCATGAATGTGAACACTGCATTTTCTTAAATCTCTTTCCTTACAGTGAGATTATGACTCGGTTGTCATTGTCTTTCAGGAAAGATACCCAAATAACAGTGTGTTCAATGAGGTATATGGGAAAAACCTAACAACCAGCTCCACGGCAGAACTGAATCCCCCCGTGGCTCCCCAGGAGACGTCACTGTACTCCCTTTTTGAAGGGACTCCGTGGTCTCCATCACTTCCTGCCAGTTCAGGTATTGATAAGTCTTTAAATGGTAAATCTTGCATTTTCTATACACTCAAATTGATGACTTCAGAGTTAGTATGCTTTTGTAATTGTGAATATGTTTGTTTTTTGTTTTGTTTTAGGTAACTTCTGAAAGAAAATAGAAAAAAATCTGATGAGCTGGTTCACATAGTAAATGCCACTAAAAAAGCTTTTTTACATCCTCAGTAACCAGCAGAGTTGTAAGGGAGAAAACTGGTTCTCAAGGTTTCCCAGCTGTTCTTTAGTTTGTAGATACTTTTTAAAATAGAGATTTTTTTTTATCCCTGCCTGATTTAATGGTAACTCTTAAAGTTAGACAATTCTATTTCTGATAGAGAAGACCATTTAGATACTTAATCTGAATCAGGCATGCCAAAATAGTGGATGCACTTGACAAAATTGTGTGTTTATTTTTGCTTTTTTGTCTTCCTTTGTTGGTTTTGTTTTATTTTGTTTTAAGGCAAGGAGTGTGCCTTAGATATATGTGCAATAAGCAGACTAGTGCATCTGGTCATCCCTTTGGGGGTCCTTATTTTGTCTTTCCCCCAAAGGCAAACAACTGTGGTTATTTTTAGTAGATTTAAGTAGTCAGATCTACTGGAGATGTTATTAGTTCTTGGTATGTTTGTGAAACATCTATTTGAAGCCCAATGTTGTTACTATTTAATAGATCATTCAACACCAGCCAGCCAGTCTCCTCATTCCTCTAACCCAAGCAGCCTGCCAAGCTCCCCTCCAACACACAACCATAATTCTGTTCCATTCTCCAATTTTGGACCCATTGGGACTCCAGATAGCAGGGATAGGAGAACTGCAGATCGATGGAAAACTGATAAGCCAGGTGAGAGGCGGACTTCATTGCCCAGCAAAAGTGAAATCACTTACCACATCCTTCCTTGGTTTTTGCCTTTGGCAATGATAGAACATCTTTTTGAATTCTTGTCTCTTCATCCCTTAGCCATGGGTGGGTTTGGCATTGATTATCTCTCGGCAACATCAGCCTCTGAGAGCAGTTGGCATCAGGCCAGCACTCCAAGTGGCACCTGGACAGGCCACGGCCCCTCCATGGAGGATTCCTCTGCTGTTCTCATGGAGAGCCTAAAGGTAAGTGGACTTTAGGAACAAAACCACAAGAGATGTCTCTTTTATTCATAAGAACAGTGAGGCCCTTAGAATTGATTGAGTGGTAGCACATATCTAGCAGTCCTAGAAACATGGTCTAGGATTCTTGAATGGGACTTTTTTTTTTAATTTGTAAATTCACCAGTGACAAAGCAGTTCATAGGGACAGAAAGACAAAGGTTTTAAATTGCATTTCTAAGGTTAAGAAAATCCTGATTCATCTTTGGATGTTTAAACCTTTTTTGAACAAGTAAAAGAAGGGTATCTAATTTTAGAAAAGTTTGTTTGCTTAAAACCCTATAGCAAATACCCTGTGGTCCCACGTGGAGCTGAGTTTCAGTAAAAAGACTTTATATAAAACATACTTTACCTTTTCCCGTTTAAAATAATCTAAATGGGAGCTCAGTGGTCTTGAAGACAGTCTTTTTGACAATGGTCTTGAAGACAATGACTTTTTCTAATAACTGGTTTTTTTTTAAGGGGTTGGGGCTATTAGGACATATATGCCTTTATATTGGACTGGGATTGAAAAACGTATCCCTTTCTGACAGTCAGGCATTTGATCTGAGCTGACAAGCTCTGGGCTGTTTTTCAGTCTATCTGGTCCAGTTCCATGATGCATCCTGGACCTTCCGCTCTGGAGCAGCTGTTAATGCAGCAGAAGCAGAAACAGCAGCGGGGACAAGGCACCATGAATCCTCCACACTGAGGCCAAAGTGGCAACCCTGGGAATGAAGGCTCCATAAACCATGGCATGTTGGGTTTGCAGGACTGGCCCACACAGTCCCCTGCAGGTGGCAGCCCTCTTTTCTGTTTCTTGCTGTCGAGAGGGTGTAAGTGTTCCACCAGCCCACTGAGTGTGCACGAAACGTCCGCAGTGCAACAAAAAGAGAAAACCATCAGAAACTCTCCACCCCCGCAGGGTCTCCTGGAGGGAGAGGGAAACTGCTGTTTGTCTCACTCAGATATCACCACCTCTCACCTTCTCCATTGTGCATGTTCCCAGCCACATGGGAGGTGAAAGCTGAGAAGGGGAGGCAGATGGGAGAAGCCAATGGGAACTTCTCAGTGCTTTTTTTCCTCTTTGGGGAATAAAATGGGGAACCCATTAATGATTGCTTTGCTGACTGAGAATGTAGTTGAAATTTTCCTAAACATCTTTTATTGTTGTTTCGACTCTCAGTAGTAAAATATCACACTGAATTCTTCCATACACAGGTGTGCTGCTTCTAGTCAGTGTGTAGAAAGGAAAGCCCTGTTCCCTGTTCCTGTGAGAGGTTAGTGGCAACAGGATGGAGAAGTCGACCTCTTAAGCCCATGGCGAGTGTTCCATACGGGAGAGTGCAAGTCCTCAACTTGGCACTCAGAAGGTTCTGGTAGGCCCTCCTCTGGCCTGGAGACTCCAGCAGGAAATGCCCTTCACTCTGTAGGTGCTCGAGCCCCAACCGAGGATGCAGTGTGGGTGGTGGTGCTGGGCTGGACTAGTAGATGACTGCTGTAGGATTTTAAATTAACGTTTTGATTCCTGTACATTTTACAGTAGCATAGCAGGCAGTCTCACAGAAGGCAGGCTAGTCCGTTCACGGCCTGACACGTTCTAATAGGTAGAGGCTTTCAGTGTGGTTCATTTTTGTTTGGTTGGTTTTTGTGCCCCCATCCTGCTTACCACCCACCTCCTCCTGTCCCTACCTCCATCCCTTTTCTGTCCTTTGCTGTATGCTAGTAATTGTTTTTATTCCTGTTGTGTACGACATCTCACCAAGAAGCAACGGAATGGGGTCTGGCAGTGGGGCCCAAAGACTGTCTGAGGCGGAAGGAAGCAGCAGCGCCTGCATAGCCCATGGAGGGGCCAGGCCTCCGCCCAGCTGCTGTCCCCCAGCCTCCACTTTCAGAGTGAAATTCAAGGCAACACAGAAGAAATTCCTGCACAGAAGAAAACCAATGAAATCCATTCTGGAAAAGGCGAAAGAAAGGAAAAGAAACTTTTATTTGATATTTATTAGAAGGAAAGAGGACTGAAACTGTCTTGTGTAGAAACAGAAGGACAGCATTTCTGTTAGTCATTTCCTGGAAAAGTAATATTTTAAGGGGAAATTATGGAAACAATCTAAATGTCCAGTTGCTAGTGGGAGGGTTTATTTTCTGGGAGGTCTCTCCTTGTGTGTGTGTGTGTGTCTGAGTGGGAGTGTGGACACACACCCATCTGCTCTCCCCGGGGCGGGTGGTATATGTGTGCTTGGAGTTAGTGTGGGATGTAACGAACTGGAAAACAGCTGCAGAGCAAAGCACATCCAAGAGCCTGGTTGTCACTAGAGTCTGGGCAACCCCAGCAAAGAAAAGGGGTGAGTTCAATGCTCACTGCTCTTTAGAGAGTGGTTGGAGCCTCGTACACTTACATTATTGCTTTTTAATTTGACATGGCATTTGGGGTTTTGTTTTGTTTTGTTTTGTTTTGTTATGAAAGGTCTAAAAGGGTGAAGTCCCCCTGACCCAATGGCAGTATACAACCCTCTGTGCTCCTCTCCAGCCCTTTCCCTCGTCCACGTTTCTCCCACTCCCTCCCTCCCGAGCCTCCTTCCCTGCTGCCTTTACCCTCCACTTCCGGTGTTTGAGCTCTGCATTCAGGCAGCTGCAACATTCCAGTGTTTGAACTGTCACTGATTCTTGCACCCTAGACAAGCTAACCAGGTTCACCATCTCACCCCCAGTAGCACTCAGGTCCTATCTGCAGCCCCGTTTTTGCATGAGAATTTGGTGTTTGGAATGTTTTCTGACTCTCAGGGCGAGGTTCCTCGCCTTACCATCCTCAGTGTGGATAAGGAAGAGGGAGAGGAGGATCTTCATCTGAAGCTGGTTTTGTGTAGTAAGCTTTATTTTGTGTTTGTTTTGTTTTGTTCTGTTTTGGTCTGTCTGTGCAAGACCTGCAGCTGCTGAAATCAGCTTTGCCTTTAATTAAACCATGTTCTCTCCAACCAGATCTGTGTGTATAGATTGTTCCTTTTCTCTCCTAAAAGAAAATCCAGCTTAAAGAACAAGTTTTTAAAGTATTCACAAGTTAGCTAGGGGAAGGCAAAGATGGTCAGAAATCAGATACGCTTCAGGATCATTTTTGCTTCTAGGAGGTATTCCAAACCAATGTGCATTATTATGGTGGAAAGAGATGGGTAGAAGGAAACTGTCAAAATTATTTTATTTGATAACTAAAGCATGGCTTATGCAAAGGAGTTAACAACCCACCATTTTCACCCCTGTTACTGTTAACAAGGCAATTCAGAGGTAGTTTATCTTCTTGGCCTATAGCATTCACTGTCTGATGAGCAGTGACACTAAATAGTGTGCTTAGCTTTGGGGTTACACTTGAAGTATTTTCAGTGGTAACCCGCTGGGCCTTCAGCAGTGTGCTAAAGGCCAGTTCCATAGCTGAGTGGTGGGTATTCACCTTGACCAACCGTCCTTCACCAGGTGTTGATTCCATCTACACTTCATTTCTTAACTCTGCTTTTCACAGGCACCTACATGCTTGAGAAATTGTTAACTAAGTCATACTCTACAGTAAGGAAGGGGGAGGGTAATTAAGACCAGGTCCTAAGGTCTAGTATTTATGGAATCCTTCACCCAAGTAAACCCTGAAAAACCAGGCCACTCAGTTAAATGATAAACAAAATACAACCGTAGCATTCTATCATAAATATTAGTATGTACATTCTATGAAATGTTAACTAACAGTGTATTACTAATGAGCTGGCTTCCTAAACAAGGCTTCTTTTCATCACTTAAGTGTTTGTGGCATATATGCAGTATTGAATTCAACAAATGTTTCTTGGAGAAGACATAAAGGAATGTAGTTTTAGTATTTTAAATCTCTATGGACTTGAAAGCAGTATTCCATGGGTATCTAACTCAGTTGAGAGTCTGTTTAAGCAGTAAGACTTTAAACCAAAAAAGAAACATTAATTTTGAGTGTGTATGCCCTCTGACTTACTTGTATGGTTACTTCAGGTTCTAGAAGTCTGCAACAGTAATGGTACAGGAATAGGGATATTTTTTACACTTAGGCCTTGGGCCTGTACTCCAGGTGTCTTGGTATTTAAGTTTTTTATTAAGGCATCACACATACAGAGAAGTGCACCATTAGTAAATATACAAGTAAGTGAATTTTCACAAAGTGAACACATCTGGACAGCTAGCACTCAGAGCAAGAAACATTATCAGCACCCTAGAAGACCCAACCCCTTCATATCCTTCCATACACTTCCAACCATCCCCCTTACCCAGTCCCACCCCCAGCATAATCATCATCCTAATTCTCACACCATTGTCTGATAGGTTACCTTTTAACAGGAAGATTAGTTCACAGTTCCAAACAATGTCTCCCTACAACAGAGGCATGCTACATCTTTCAAAGGTAGTACCTCCTTTCCTTCACCTTTGTAGTTTGAAACAGCCTAGACTCCTCTAGGATTGCTTTCCAAGGCTGTAGTTGCACGTTGTTCAACAAAAGCTTTGGGGAAAATGCCAATCTTCCCTTTGCACTCCCCTTCCAGCCAGTCTTCATTTACTGATAAAAGGAAAAGTATACGTTAATGTCTAAAACCAGTATAGAAAAATGATACCTGGACATTCCGCACACATCTTTTGTGAGTCCTCCACCCTGCAATTGTGCTAGCAAGGAAAAGTCAGTATTGGAAAGTGATTTTAAGTACGTGTGAGCATAGGACTTCACCACGTTGTTACTGATTTGTGTCTTAGACACAATACTGGAGAAGTAAAGTGGCAAAATGTATTAGGTTTCTTCAAAAAGTTGCCAGAGAAATAAAATGAGAGATATTGAATGGTGAATCATTAGATACATTTTTTTTTAACAGTTCTATCTGAGCTCTGTTGGGAATCTTTTTGATTACAGGAAAAGGACATGCAGTTGGTTGAATATATTAACATTCACTAGTGAATGATTAAAGAATTGAGACTTGGAGCTAGTGATGGAGTTAATCTATGTAAAAGACAGGGGTTTTCTTAGCTCCTGTTTTGAGCCTTTAGTAAAATGCAGGCAGTGTTCTAGGATGTGTATATACACTCAGACTTCGTAATAACTCAGGTGAGCCCCATTTTACTAAGGAAAAGGAGACCCAGAGAGATTAACGGCTTGTTCCTGGTCATCCTGCCAGTAAATATCGACTTAGGTATGACCTACTCCAGAGCTCATCTACCAGACCGTGCAACCAGTTCTGAAGTGCACCTTTGCCTGTAAGACTACAGAGTACACGTTAGAGCCCTGGAGCTCTGATCCTGTCCCTAGAATCTCTGCTCTGATTAGTGTGGGGTGTGGCTGGTATCTATCTGAATTTCTGAAGTTTCCTCAAGTAGTTTTAATTGCAAACCACTGTCTTGATCCTTCCTATTTCCAATGTAAGTCATGGCCCAGAAGTACTTGTTTGTCCTGGCTCCTGGGAGCATATTAAAAATGCAAACTCTCAGGCCTACCCCCCAGCCTGAGTCAGAATCATTTTTAACAAGATTCCCTGGTGATTCACATTAAAGTTTGAGAAACTTTCTGAATGAAACTGTCTCATGACCACTTAATACAGCTGAACTCACCCCCCTGACCCACCCAATATTTATGCTCAAATTATGTTTTCTATTTAAGTATTAGGATAAAGTTTCAAAATATTACACTGGTGCTTCCTGAATTAACTGGCCTTAGACTTCTCTGTATGTATCACGGTAAGGAGGACACCATGTCTGTCCATATCTACCTAGAGGATTTTTCTGTGTGTTCTCTCATTTTTATCTCATCCTCACCCCCCAGAATAACTGGGTGGTTAGCTGGTTGATTGATACTGACACAGAAAAATGGTTCTGGGAGTTACTAAGCCCAATTCTTAACAAAGAGTTTCCATTCTCCCTTGTTGGAAGATGGGCACTGGCTTTGCAACCCTGCTTCTTTATTTCATCATTCCTATTTTGGGTTCTTTGTCACACACGTGTGTTCTCATTCTCTACTCGATTAACTTTAATACCTTCTGCTCTCATTTCATAATCTATTGGATTCTCTGTTAAAACCGATAATAGTATTCTCTTTCCACCACTTTGCATTGCTTATGCACATTTCAGCCATAGGAGCACCGTTCTTGATGGGACTCATTTGTTTCCAGATAGAGAAATACGACTGTGTCAAGCATGCATCTGTACAGTGCTGCTCAGTACGCTCACCAGACCGGTGTCTCCTGAAAGCTTGTTAGAAATGCAAACTTTTAGGCTCCACCCCAGACCTGAATCAGAATTTGGGGGAGATGGGCCAAGAATTTGATTTAGCAAATCGTCCAGAGGATGTTTGGGCATACTCAAGTTTGAGGAGGACTAAAAACTCTACTTACTATTTCAATTTCTAATGGGTTTGATTCCTAACAATCAGGAAAGTCACCAGAGACCACCATTCTGAACAGCTGCTTTTAAAGCAAAATTTATCCCCTTTAAAAAGTAAATCAGTTCAAAGAACAATAGCTTGCAGAAGATAGTGTCATCTAGCTTGGTGCAAAGGCAGCATGGTTCCAGCCACCCTCCAATTCATGGACTCTGGCGATGAGAATCCATGACTTCCAAAAAAGCCATCTTTGGTAACCAAAATACTATCTTAAGTCTGCCATTAGTAGTTTCCCCGCACCTTAGAGCAACCGATGGAAAGGCTGAGCACTCGGGGTTGCTCCCTCCAGCTGAAAGCTCAGGAGGAGATTGAAGCCACTGGCCAAAGTTTGGTTTGCAGGCTGTTGATGTTTTTTCTTCTCTCTTCCATTGAGTATATTTGCCAATGGGTAGATTAGTTTCTATAATCCTGGAGGAGCACTTACCCGTTGATATTACCAGGATTACGTCCCCCTCTAGAAACTCCAGATCTTCTGGTTGGGTAGCCTCAAAACTAAAGAGTGCAACCACTTGGCTCCCTTCCTTAAGCTGCGGTTCTGTTGTCTGGTCATTAGCATCGGATTTTTCACTTCCCTTGGGTTCATCTGGAGAGCCTTGGTCACCCTGAAATAATAAAGGACCTGTTAGTTTTCCTGCATTCCTGGCCAGTGAGCATTGAACATTACTAAAGCCATCAGTGAAGTGTCAGGGGAGCACCTGGGATATAAATTGTGACCAGTGCCAGCATACACCTAACATGGACTTTATGAAGGCTGGGTGGTTGATACATGAAACCAAAAGGTCTGTAAGACCATATATATACTCTTAAAATCTTACTGAAGATTTAGAGTAATCCTGAAAATGGCAGAATAGGTACTACTGATACTTCTTATCAGATGGAGGAACAGGTTGAGTCACAGGTATGTGATAAAACCCGAAGTCAAACCTGGGGTTCAAATTCTGAATCGAACACCCTTTCCCCAGCACCATGCTAGGGACCTTGTTTGAAATGCAAATTTTCATCTGTAGCCCAATTTATTAAATGATGAACTCTATGCAGATGAGGTCCAGCAATCTGTGTTTCAACAAACCCTCTTGGTGATTCTGATACTTGCTGAAGTTTGAGAACCACTACACAATGTCATACTATCTAAAGCCATAAAAATGGCTTTACTATCTTACAGGTGTAACTACACTTTGTAGTCCCCATTATGGTCACTTTGTTCCACAAATGTTGAAAAGAAGAAGAATACGGTTTCTGGAGAGGTGATTCATGGGATTTAGCAAATCAACATTAGAAACCCTGCTAGGCTAAATGTAAAAAAATGGTAAAAGTTTCCAGGGTTCTGATGCTGTTTGTTCCTTGGCAGATCCTCCTTACTAAAAGGCAGTACCGTAAGGTGGAGAGGGCCCCAAGGAGTCCAAAAGCCTACATTTGTATCCCAGCTCCACTGCTTACCAGCTGTGTGTCCCTGAGCAAGCAGTGTAACCTCTCAGAACCTGTGTCCTCACCTAAAACTGAGGCTAGAAGAACAAAATGAGACATAGAGTAATAGTTGACAGTTATTGAACACCTACTCTGTGACCATACTAGTCTAAATATATGTAAATATTCCAGCTTGTTAATGGTAAGTGTTCTTGCATAGGTACTTAAATGTTAGGTTATTTTCCTTCTAGTAAGTGAATGAGAACATCCTGACTTACTGCCTCCAAGAGTAAGAGACAGTGATAAAAAGACTTCAACAATGACCTCTAACACTGAATTGAGTTCCAAAAACACTGTGTTGGGAGTACGGGAGGGTTAGCCCCAGATAGCTGCCAAATAGATCAAAGCTGTCTTACGAGGATGAAGATTAGCAATAATTTAAAGCAGTAAAGACAATCTTTTACATGAAGTAACTCACACTTAGAGCAGAACTCCTAGACAGAATCCTTTTAAGACATAGTGAAGGGATTAGTTTAAACACAGACAGCTGGAAAACGGGGAGTGACCCTTCAAACTCCCAAGCAGCCCTGCCACTAGTACTCTAACCCCACTGTACTGGGGACTCTCCTCTTAGCCGGAGGCACCAGGGAGCCTCTGCTTCCTGAAGGCAACTTGGACTCAGATCCCACTGACCTGGGACTTATTTACTAGAGGTCCTTCCTCCAGGCCCACCCACTTTAATTCTTCCTCTCCCACTTGTCTTTGATTTGAGTAAAAATCCAGCAAACATTTGTCTTTGATTTGAGTAAAAATCTACCAAAGAGACCCTTCCCTATCTTAGCAAGAAGCCCCTGCTCAGCTGTGGGACAAGGGTTTAGAAGAAGGACTACCTCCTATTGGGGACCCAAGCCCTACATGGTCTGGAATAGTCTGTCTGCTGTGGTCATTTCCATGACCTTAAAATCCACTTGTAGGGGGGAAATAGTGGCTCTTTGAAAGATTCACGTAAGATCTACTTAATGTTATAGCCCCTGCAATGATGTAAGTGCAGATGGCACAGACTAAAAGTGCTAAAGCAGGAAACCGCTGAGGAGAGCGAGACTGAGGCTGTCCTGGGGCGTCCAGCCAACACCAGCATGGCCAGTGGAGACGGCAGCCTCACCACCTCTGCGTCAGGAGCCCCCAGCCTCAGGACCACGGGTGGGGAGCGGGAGTCTCAGAGGAAGCCCGCTGGCCAGCCCGGCTGCGCTCCCTGCCCCGCTCATGCTCCTCGTCACTCCAAAGCAGGACCTACCTATTCCTCCCCTGCCCCCGGCATCCTCCTAGTCAGCAGTGTACAGGCCTTCCACGATCTGGCCCTGCTGCCTTTCCAGCCGTGTCCCCCACCCCCTTCCGTTGTGTCCAGCAGCACCAAGCCCCGTCTCCCACTGTGCTGACTTCTACAGTCCAACTTGTTTGCTGCATCCATGCAATGCACCCTAACCTCCTCCTCCTCCTCGCTCCACTGTATTTACCATTTTCAAACTGAGTTTCAAGACAGTTTCAGCATCATTTTCTCTGATTTGTCCCACTGTTGTCTAGCATTTGTCGGTGAGAGATGCTCCCAAGTGCTCATAGCACAGCATTTGTGCATCTCCATCAGTTTACTTAACACATGCTTTGTAATCATTTGTTTGCTCTTATCCTCCCCGCCAGAAGGGCCTGTGTCTTACTAGTTTTTATATCTCCAGTGCCTATCTAGAGAGCAGAAAGTACTCAGCACATGTTTGTTCAAGAATAAATGTTACTAGACAAACACTGGAAATGACCTAAATGTCCACCAACAGGTGGATGAGTAAGCAAATTGTGTCCGTACAATGGAATGACATTTAGCAATCAAAAGAAACAGACTAGTACAAGTGTGTGTGTGTGTTGTATACTGTATGATCCACTTAGATGAAATGACATCAAAGGCAAACCCAAAAGTATCTTGGTAGAAAGCATATGGATGGTTTTCAGGGCCCATGATTCAGGGGAGGAACTAACACTGTCAAAAAGAAAGGGCAGCTTGTCCCCTAGAGACTAAGGGACGAAGTTCAAGAGTGTTAACTTGTAGCTACTACTACTAGCTTCTGACTTTGCTTCTGACTCCCTTTATTGCTGGAAAGTCAGTTAACCCTTTTTTAGACCTCAGGGCCTATAGATAACCTACCCTTGAAAAGTCAGGACAGCGAGATTTTCAAGAATAAAAGCAGGTGCTGATGTCAAAATGCCTGCCTGGCTCCACTACTGACCAGCAGGGAAATCCTGGCCAAGCTGACTTCCCTTTGCCTTGTTACCTAAATTGTAAAACAGGCTACCAATACCTGCTTCACATAGTACTGAGGATTATAGCAGTTAATACACAGCATCCACTGAGCACAGTTATCTGGCACATGGGCAGTTCTCGATAGCTATTAGGGGAAGGTGTTATCCAAATTATCTCTTGGGAAATTAACACTCATTTTCTTTCATGCCAAGTGTTCCTCCCCATGGAAACTTAAGGAAGAGTTTCCCACTGCTTCCTTAGCAGTGACTAAGGAAGAGTGACTTTGAGCTCAGCCTCAAGCTGTGACTTCAGCCCGACCTTGCTTGATCCTGATGGGCCTAAAGGTTGGAACAATAAGGTGTGGAGCAGATGGAAGGGACTCCGAGGCTTTCTGTGTTCAGGGCCTGCTCTTCTGTGGGAAACCCTCTCCTGGCTGCAATCTGAGCTAGGCTGCAGAGCTGCGGCTTACTACCATCTGTATCCCCAACTCCAAGCTCAGTGCCAGGCTCAGAAAGTGCTGGATAAATGATGAATTGTTGCTGAGACAGCAGCCCTCTGCCCCTGGGCTCACTGCACTCACCACTGTGTTCTCACACCACAGAGTCAGGCAATAGTTTTTCACTTGGCTCCACGCATCCTTCATGCTCTCTTCTGAAAGCAGTACCAGCTCATTGTTGTCCCGAGGCCGATAGCTGGGTGGGGATAATGAGTTAAAAACCAAGTCAGAGACATCAGTGTAGAGCTGTCTTCCAGGCCAGCGCCAGGTTCCGGTCTGCACCCCTAATTGCCACCTATGTGGACCTCACCTCAGCTTGGTGTGTTCCGGCAGGAGCTCCAGTTTCTTAGCCACCATGTCCCGGACCTGGCCGTAGGGGAGTCCAGTCTGAGCTTCGATGACCACCGTGTACTTGTAGTGCACCTTGAGTGTGTAGGGCATGGGGACAGTGAGCTTCATGTCCTGAGGAGAGAGGAAGCAGTGGGAACTCATGAGCGTCTGAGCTTTCCGCTGTGCAACACCCTGGCTCACAGCACGTGGGCTATGCAGCAGGGAGAGGCCAGTAGGTAATTGGTGTCACAGTAATGTGATGGGCTTTCAGAGGTCCTACAGCCCAAGTCTCGCTTGGATAGGAATTCTGACTGCATGAGATCTGGCCCACTGGCCATGGGCCAGTAGGAAATGTGTGCATGGGAGTGTGGGGGGGTCCCTAGCCCACGGGCTGCGTGTTCAGTGGCAACTGGTCTACTCCTCCTTTGGGACCCTTGCTACAAACCATGGAGACATGCCCATGGCAGGCAGTCTAAGCCCTTGCATTCTCTACCACTTCACATAGTACCAGGAAAAATGTTACCTTGAGCTCTTCTTTTTCCTTCTGACCTAAACAGGGAAGGTAAGAAGTAAAACAAAAGACGATGAATGAACACTCTTGGCCAGTCCCTGCCATACACAGAATGAAGCCTTTTAGCATGGGACACCCAATTTCTTACCCTTCAATCTCAGGGGTGATTATTAACCTTAAGCTGTGGGAGAAATCTCTCTCTGGAGAAATGTGAAGGGCAAAGCCAGGAACACAAACCCAGTCTGTGCTGTTATGGAGCATATAGGTCCTCATCACATCCTCACCAACTCCCGGGGCTAGAGGGAATCCCAAAAGTCAAACCAGTGGGTTCTGAAGCAATGAAAAGCAGGGTGTGTGAGATGACCCAGGACCCACAAGAAAAAATATCCTTTATTTTTGTGTATGTTTTCTAATGTGTATAATATATGAATACAGAAATATGCATATAATTTCTATAAGAGATGTATGCATAAAGATATTCACCCTATAGGGGTACATGATCAAAAAGACCACTGATCTCAAACCTGGCTAATCACTAGACTCACTGGGAAGTTTTCTAGAAATACAGATTCCTAAGCCCAATTCCAATACTAAAATATCAGAATCAAAGGCCTAGGAATCTATATCCTTAAAATCTTCCTAGGTTAATATGTGGCCCTTGAGGGACCCCAGACAAAAAAAGATAGAAACAAAAACAAAAAAGCTATCAAGGATGTTTTGGGGAGACAAGTAGGGAAATTTGAATATGAAATACACATTCTATATTATATGAACTTTAAATGTCCTAGATATAAGAGTTGCATTGTGGTTATGCAGAAAAAAACGTCCTTGTTCTTAGGAGACACATGCTGAAGTGTATTGTGAAGTATCATGAGTCTGTGACTTTTTTCCAAGTGACTCAGCAGGCAAATACATGGTGCAAAATGTTAACAATGGGTGAATTTAGGTAAATGGTATTCTGGCGTTTATTGTAGTGTACGTCCAACTTTTCTGGAGCCTTGACATTTAAAAACAAAACAAAACATGAGGATGGGAAGCACCCCAGTGGTCTAGACACTTGGGTGGGCATGATGATCGCTGATACAGCCTCTCGACAGACCAGCTGTTCAGTACATCTCTACAAGCACATATGCAGACTCCGCTTAACCTGCATTTGTGCCAAAAGCCCACCACTTCCCAAGGAAGCCTTTTCCAGTGCCGGGAGAGTCTCTCTCTTTGACATCTTCGCCTGGGTTCTTTGTCCACCCCTTGGGGTTCTGCAGAGCAATTTCTTTTCCAGATAGAGCTCCTCAGACTTTTGAAAATAGCCACTCCATCTCCCTCTCAGGTAAACACGTGCAATTACTTCAACCTTTCCTCCTGAGACATGGTGTTGGTACTTAAGGGCTGAGGGGTTTGGTGGCCACTTGAGCTGGGACTCTCACTGCCCCCAGAAACCATCTACATTTACTCAAGCCCCACGAATGCCCTCAAACAGGCTGGGAGAAAAGGTGTGTTCCCTATGTTTGGGGTGGGGGTGGTGCAGGCGAGAGGGTGCTCAGGGGCTGTGTGGTCACAAACCCAGTGTTGTGCTGGGAGGAGGAGAAGCCAGAATTTCCTGGAAGACTGGGAGGCAACCCAGTCAGGAAGCAGCCCAGAGCCTTCCGGTGCCCAGGCCCTGGCTGCCGCTCCAGAGACACTCACCTGGCAACAGCTGGGGTCTCCCAGGAGCACTGAAACTGGGAGGAGCTGGGATATCAGACTCCAGGGAGGTTTCCTCCTGGAGGGGACAGGAAGAGGTGGTGAGAACCTCCACGCAAAGTTCGGAGGCAGGGGTGAGGTGGCAGGAGGGAGAGCCCCTGCAGACCCCCACGGAGAGGAGCCAGGCGCAGATGACTCCCTACAAGTGGAGTGGTGGTGGCATGCAGGGGAGATAAAGGGAAGTGTGGGTTCACAGGGGAGGCAGGGCTGGCCTGGCGGGAGCAAATCACAGCAGAAGAGTTGGAAGCCCGCTAAAAGGCCCCTGCTCCCTGGCCACCCCTTCCAGCCATACTGGAAATCCACAGGGGTGGGGTAGGACCCCGAGGCCCCTCTCACGCCACACCTTGCCCCTTCAAAGGAACAGTTCCATTTCTCATTTGTGTAGCATTTAACACTTTTCAGGTCATCTGGATACAGCGACCCTGACAGGGAGGGCCAAACGCACAGAGGACATGGGATTGAGAAACGGGTTCCGCTGCCATCCACATAGCCACTCAGACCCAGCAAGGACCCCTCCCCAGGCCCGGCAGAGGGGCTCCGGAGGGAGTGGTCGCAGCTTCAGAAGCAGGGGCTGGTGAAGCCGACCCTGATCCAGTGCTCTAAAGCAGCCCCCTCTTCTTTTTAAATGGCATTGCACCAGCCAGCTCACTGTTCTTCCAGGTGAAGAGGACATTTCTGGGAAGACCTAGCCTTGATGTACTATAGCCTTTGGGTCCCAAGTCCCTGACCAGGAGGAAACACTGTGGGTGCAGGAGGTCCTGCAGATGCTTCCCCTCACCACACCTGGGTTCTTCCCTTCACTCCCGGGTGCAGCCCAGCGCAAGGCGGGCTCAGGACTGGCACGTCTTCTGCGGTGGTAGTGGTAACACCTTTTCAGCCTGCCGTTCTCCCCTCCGTGGAGAGGTCCGGCAATGGCTGGAAGGACAGGGTGTCAGGCCCTGCATGAAGTTACCTGGGGCTGCTGTTGAGGATGGATCCGCAGTTCAACTGGTTCAAGGTAGTTGCAGGGAACCAGCCCCTTCTGCGATGTAACATCACAGAACCCGAAGGGAGAGAATAAGTCAGTGCCCATCAGTACCCACACCGCAGAGCCCAGGGACAGGGGAGGCACCGGGGGACGGACGAAGGAGCCGGCCTGCAGACAAGGCAGCGGGTGCTGCTCCCCAGCGAGCCCCGCCCCTTGCTGCCGGGATGCCCTGCCCCCAAGAACACTCCTGCCCCTCTGAATACCTGCCCGTTGAACATGACGGTAGCCCAGTTATCGTTGCCCTTCTTCAAGACAAAAACGATGTTTCCGGGCATGACCTGGAGCTCCTCTGCTGTTTCCGGCACAAATCCAAAGAGCACACGGTGAGCTTCCCCTTCCAGGGCCCTGCGGGGAGCAGACGCGAGACCCTGTCACTCTCCAGCCTGGGCCGCCCCGCCGTGGCGCTGGGGGGACAGCCAGCAACGGGCGCGGAGCCCGGAGACGCGCTGGGCACCCTCTAACTCCGCATCTAAGTGCGTGCGTGCCCGAGCAGAGTGCTTGCCTGCCCAGCTGCCCAGAGCACCTGGCAGGAAATGCCTGCGCACGTGCTCCAGAACTGTTGGCGCAGGGGGCTGAGAACAAGACAGCCAGCGAGAGGACGCTGGGTGAGGCCAAGGCCTTGCTTCTTTGCCCTCCCCCGCCCTCCCGAGGAGAAAGTGTCCAGGGTATGTGTGGCCAGCTCCCAGGTCTGCGCTGGGGCGTGTGTGGGAAGAGCAGGCAGATGAGAGCCCGCCCCCCGGGGGTGGGGAGGCAGCAGCCGTCCTGGCCGGGGGGCCGGGCACACAGGGCGGGGGGTGCAGAACAGGAAGGCTGAGCTGCGAGGACCTGGGGGGACACACAGCAGTTCTGAGGCTGCCTTGCTGTGTGTTACGCAATGTCATTTCCCTGCTACCATTTCCTCAAGACTTACTTTGCTCCTCAAGGTTCTAGGGCGTCCAATTGGTGCCACTTTGGAATATGTATGTGAGTGAGAGGTGGGCTCCAGGGCTGCCTGAAGTATTCGGGTTCATGCCTCCTCCCCTCCCCCTGGGGGAAGCTGGCTGCCTCCCTCTCGGTCCCCCTGTTACTTCCCCTCCACCCTTCTTTTTGTTTCCAAACAGCGTCTGCCTGTAGAGGCTACCGACTCCTCCAGGGGACAGAGTTTAGGAAGGAGCTAATCCAGCCCCATCATTTTTCTAGTTGCTTTGCTACTTTTTTAAACCTTCTTTACTGGGGGGGGGGCGCTAGTCTTACTTCCTGGTTTAAAGGAAATTGTTGCGAAAGCTGCCGATTATGTCATTCTTGGCTTCTTATCTTATGGAAGAATGACTTCTTTTCTCGATTCCTTCCTCTTATTTCTTCAGAAAGCATGTGCCAACAGGGACAGGAAAGGGTGTTCTGGCTTCCCACTCTGCTCTCCCAACTTCGGAGAGCTCCGGCCTCCCATCTTCTGAAGGGGCTGCGTGAGGCTGCCCTCCAGCCCTGGGTGAGCGTCCTGGCCCGGGGGCGCTATGTCTGGGAGCGGGGGGGGGGGGGGGGGGGCACTGCTGCACCTCAGCAGCACCCTGCATTGTGTGGGAGACGTGGGGACACAGGACCACCACGCGGCTCAGCCAGGCCCCCACCCACAGTCAGTGCCACCACAGTCGGGACTCCCGTCCTCTCTGTATCACTCCATTCCAACACCCGAAACACAAGGAGCCACCCTGCTGGGCTAAATTCCACGAGACTTAGAGCCTGACCCTGGCTTCTTCACCCCCTTCACTGCCGTCGGCTCAGGCTGGGGGCGTGGCCATGCTGCACGCTGATCTCAGTCTAACTTACCTGAAGATCTCTGGGGTTTTGGGTCTGGGTGGAGGCTCAGCTGCCTATTGAACATTCCGAAGAAATGAAGAAGGACAGACAAGAAGGGAAGGGGGCAGTGGGGAGAACAGATCATTAATGGTAATTTGAGCCTTCCCCCAGACCAGAAAATCAAGGAATGCATTTCTGAATCATCCGAGGACTGTCTAAGGAGAGGGCACAGTGCACCCTGACTAGACACTGGAAAGTCACACCTCCCACCAGCTCCCTGGGCGCAGGTTTACCAGCACAAAAATCCATCTGAGCCAGACCTGGTTTCTGGCAAAGTCTAGCTGCCACAGAGCAGCATGGCGTCACGAGGGTGCTTCTGACCCTGACCTATCCCTTTCCTAGGACAGTTTCCAGGAAACTGCTCTATCACAAGACATTTGTGGGTATTTAAAATCAACTCAAAACTCACTGACCAGGCAAGAATCTACTTTCAATGTGTTTCCTGTTCTATGCTGAATTTCATGGAGTCCAGTTATCTGGGCTTCTACCCCCACTTGGAGGTCCTCTGGAGCCCAGAGGACCTCCAACAGGCTTTCTTCAACTTTATTGTGAAAAAAGAGATCAAAGAATCTTGACTCTCTCTGTCCTCCTTTGCTCATCTCACCCTCAGAGCCCCCGTGTTGGTCACATTCTGGGCCAGCAGTCATCACCCTGACCCTGGAGGGCTGTCAGAGCCACTCTCTGGGGTAACTGGTACATGCAGAACCTCTGCCAGTGTGGCCCAGCTCTCCTGCCCATCATGGTCCTACTGCGGTAGAGCTCAGACTTCCCCAGCCTGCCCAGCCCTCTTCCCTTCACAAGGAAGCTCTGCCTTTGCAGTTCTGGACCCACTCTCATCCAGGCCATCTGGAATCATCTCTTTGAGCCCAGCTTGGGCAGCAAAAGGGGTTGCTCTGGGCACCCAGCAGTGTTCCCAAGGGAATCTCCTGCTCACAGGTGGATGGATGGAGCCAGAAAAGCCCACAGCCTTGGGCTTTGGGCCCCATGGGCATCCCCACTAGCCCCTGTGTCTGAGAGGGGGTATTGTTACAAAGTCTCCGATAACTTGTGTTATAATTTTCTGAGAGAATGGTCAGGGCTTCGGGATAGATGATCAATTGCAGTTCTCTAAGAACCTAGAGAAGTGAAGACTGGCGTTTGGGGTGGAAGCAGAGGACTTGGCAGAAGCAGAGGACTTGAAGGTGGAGCCTACAATCGCCCTACTCTCCTACCAGTCACAACACCTGTGACCAGGACTGGCCAGGCAGACGCCCTCAGCAGCGTGGATTGCTGGTCCATGGAGCCCTTACAATGACACAGCTCAGCACAGATATATCCCCTGCCAGATGCTTCTCAGAGAGCTCTGGAAACCTCCACTCAAGGAGAGGGACCGGCTAGCTCACCTGTGGCTGCAAAGGGGCAAATCCTGAGAAACTGTCTTGGTCCACCACGGAAGCCACGACCTAAAATCGAGGGAGGAGGCTGTGAGCGTCCTGCCAGCGCCATTTCCCCATCCTTCTGTACCTTTCCCCAAGATTCCCACCTCTCTCACATCCTGATTGGATGGGTGACCTCTGGATTGAAGTTCCAGCAACTGGAAAAACTAGTACCCACCCACCCTGTCTTTTTATATTGAGGTGAAATTCACATAGTATAAAATTCACCCTTTTCAAAGTGAACAGTGCAGTGTATTTAGTACATTCACAATGCCATGCACCACCACCTCCATCCACTAAAGAAATATGTTCATTACCCCAAAAAGGGAAAGTCACACACGTTAAGCAGTTATTCCACATCCTTCCACTCCCAGCACCTGGCAATCACCAGCGTGCTTTCTGTTTCTGCGCATACCTATTCTAGATACTTCACATAATGGGGTATAAAACGCGGCTCTGTGCCTGGCTTCTCTCACATACCGTTGTGTTTTCCAGGCTCATCCGTGTTATAACTTGTATGGGTACCTCATTCCTTTTCATGACTATCACATTTGTGTCTCCATTCGCCCGCTGACGTACGTTGGCTGTTTCCATGGCCCAGCCTCTCTTGAACTCCACTACTGTGCCAGAGCCAGCCACACAGCCAGTGGGCAACGTTAGCCCACCACAGATGTGTCAAAATCAAGTGTGGTGTGGGAAGGGGACTGGGAATGGGTCTGTTGACTCATTCTGGGTCATTTCTGAAAGGATTTAAGACCTGGATCGAGAAGGAGTCCAGGTTAAAAAGAAGACTTATCATGGGGTGTGGCAGTGGGGCTACCGGGGCATCAAGCCAAGAGGGTGCCGTGCTGCCTGGGTTCCCCGAGACTCAGCTTCCTGTGGGTGAGCCTGTGCTCCAGCTCAGGGCCAGGCTGGAAGGGAGGGGTGAGGGTAGCTCGGGCAAAGTGCAGCACAAGGGTTTGCCCACCTTGGAAGGCAGCTATGCCAGCCACACAGCCGGCAGTGCACAGCGCCTTTGCCCATCTGTTGGCAAGATGCCTACACTGTCAACCGGCACTCTCTGGCATCCCAACACAGAACCACAGGGGAGGGGGGGTGCCCCTTTCCGAGAGTCCCTCCACATTGCTCTGCCCAGCCCACACTGCGGGAGACCCGGGGGAAGCCGAGGGAGCCCACTCACCGTCGCCTTGCCCAGGTAGTCCTTCTTGGCCAGCTGGGCCACTTGCCTCTCATTCGGCCGAAAGAGCCGGCCCACAGGGATCACCACCGGCTCATACAGCTTCTCCTTCTACAACACAGAGCATGGGATTTCCTTACCTGGAGAGTGGGGGTAAGGATGCTGTCCCGCGTCCCTCTCTGAATGGATGTAAGGGTCCATGGAGATGGCCACGCGAGAGCACTCTTTCTAAATGTGTCAGAACTGAACCTGTTATTATTTCTGGGTGTCTAAGGTGGGCACAGTTGTTTTCAATATCCCCTTACTTGGAGAGGCTGGCTGGACAGCTGTCGGTGTTATTTGCCCAGCAGCCTCTTTTCCTAGGGGAGCTGCCCCTCTCCACTCTGGGTGGCTTGGGTGGGGCTGTCACTCACAGCACAGGAGGCACCACAACCACACAACCACAGGGGGGCCCAGGACTCAAGCATGGCCCAGGACAGTGCTCCCTTGGGACTCGGTCTGCTGGCGTGGCCAGGCATGTAAAGGCTACCAGAGACCCCTAGCTTCCAGTGCTTTAAATAGCCGGAAACTAGCTTCATCCTAAATGTGCTCAAACTATGGGTAATTTTCACCATTCATTCATATAATCAATGCCTTTTTGTTGAGAGCCAGCGTGTACCTGGCTCTGTGCCAGGCTTCAAGGACTCAATGGTGAACAAGCAGGCACAGCTTCTGCCCTTGCGTGCTTGGCTCCAGCTTCCAGCCTCCAGCTCCCCCATGCGGCCCTGGGAGCCCCACTTGGAGGGTGGTGTGAGGCAGGGGTCTGCTGACCCACACAGCAGGCCTGGGCTACTCAGCACTTCCAGATTCCAGATCCTACATGGAACTATACCCTAGGGTCAGTGTGACTCAGAGCTCAGAGAAAGTAAAAGCCTCCCCCGACTTTTATAGTTCCTCAATCTGCGCGTCCTCTGAAACAAATAGAAGTCTGATGAAATCTCACCATCCTGCTTCACCAATACACTCACCCAAACACATTCCATGGCCTTGTCGATTTTGGAATGTCTTGGCTCAGACTTCATGCTCATAGCCAATGCTAAATGTTCTTCAGCCTTTTTCCATTCCTCCTTCTTGGCGAACATGAAAGCAATATTATATAATACCTAGAAAAGGGCAGGCCACAGCATAAGGTTTGAAGCTGTTCCAAATCTAGGTACCAGGGAAAAGCTTGCCTGTGTATATTCCTGAAATGTTGCCTGGGGACATTTCTCCTATTCCCAGTGCTCCTGGAAAAATCTAAAGTATAATATAATTAAATCTTGCTACCGAGTTACGTCCAGTACAAGAAGTGTTAAGAAAACACGTAATGCATAAATCCAACATCGTGTGGCTTCTTTCACAACCAAGTAGCTCAGGAGGGGATAAAACTGTTGCATTATTTTAGTGTCGAGAATTATGATATGCTCATGGCTTCTTGAAGAGTCAGGACTAAAATACATGCATGTGGCCTCCGTACCAGCTCCTGCCACCCAGCTTAGGTATGAAAGCCTAGCCAGGTGAGGGGTGAGGAGAGATGAGGCGGGAGAGGGTTCCAGAGGCATCATCCCACACCAGCAGCACCAGAACAGCCCAGAACCAAGGAGTACGAGTCTGTGATAGAGTCATGTGCCCATGAGGAAACTAAATGGGCAAATTCCAGTAGAGCAGGAAGGGACTGGGCACAAATCCAGGGCAGTGCCTCACCTGGGGCAGGAGGGAACCGCATGTTCACTAATAGTCATAATTTTCCAGTTCATGACTGTTTGTTTTATTATTGTGCTTTACAACTTATACATAGAATCAAATGATCATTTGGCTGCATCAGCAAAATAAAAAGAACTCCTTGAGTAAATGAAATAGAAAAGACCTAAGCAGAGATGGAAAAGCAACAGAGAGCAGAAGAAAATCAAGACAGCAACTAACACAAAGGGCTGACTTTCCTTTATAACAACAGCACAGCAAGTTCTTAGGGTTCCCCACGCTTTGTGTGTGGGGTGAGCTGAAGAGCTGGGAGCTGCTATAAGCGGGCAAAAGTTGCTCTGGGGTGGGGTGAAGGTGGTTCTTCAGGGCCTCAGAGAGGAGACCCAGAGGCCAACTGAGGCCCAGCTAGAGGAGGCGAGTATTGGCCTTCCTAGCTGTAAGGGGGCAAACAATACAGGGGAGGGGTCAAAAACGTGGATGCCCCATGGCTGTTTTCTAGTTTGGCCTCACTCACCTTTATGTAAACCAGCATTTATATGAATCATCATTTATATAAAAAGCACTGAGTTCAATCTCTTGGTACATGGTAAATGCTCAATAAATAGTCATTACTATTACTATTTCTGCTGTACTATCTTGGGAATTTAGGAGGCTGAACAAAGAAGGACAGTCACCCCCACCCCACCCCCAAGTCCTGCATGCCTTCTCAGAGAAGTGACAGTGCCCACATTCTTTGGCAGACGATGGCAGGGTTGAGTTTTGCAGACTAAACCATCTGGAGGCCCTTTGTGTTTATAATCACAAGGGTAAATCTATGAAGAACTTTGAGCTCCTGCAATTCAGTGCTGCCTATTGGAGCAGTGTCATTATTGCTACCATCATCCTCATCTTTCATACCATTTACTGACCACCTACTATGGCCAGGCACTTCCTCTGCATTATCTCTAAGCCTCAGAACCACCATGAGTTAGGGGTCTCACTTCTGTGCTTCCAGAGTCCTGCCATAGCACGTCACTGGTCTAACCCTACCCAACTCACATTACACGTGACCATGAGCTTCTGGGTGCTGACATCGTGTCTTGTGGACCACTAGACCTCCATTGGCTGACACAGCAGGCATTGTAAATGTATGCCAAGTAAATGAATTTATCAGTGAATGTGCGTGTGATAAGTACGTGGTGGTTGTTTACAGGTGAAGAGGAGCCTGACAGTTAGAAGGAATACATAACTTTACGAGGATCATACAACCAGTAAGTGTTGGCCTGGGGTTTGACCTCTACTTAGCTGATTCCAAAGATAGTCAGCTTCCAGGATGGCCCCCGGGTGACCTTACCTCCTGGTACTCACCCTCCTGCATTGTTCCCTCCCACATCCAGCGGAACTGACAATGAAAACATGTAGCCCATAGCATATTATACAAATGAGGGAGTCCGCATTTGAGGCTAAGTCATAAAAGATAGTGACATTCCCTATCATGTTCCCTTAGGTCACTACTTTCCCTGGGGGCAACCAGCTACCATGTCAGGACAAGACTCAGGAGAGGTTCATATGGCAAAGGACCAAGGCCTCCTGCCAACAAGTGTCACTAACTTGCCAGACATGTAAGTCACCTTACAAGTACACCTGTCAGCCCCAGTCAAGCTTTCAGATGATAGCAGCCATGTCGGCCCCTTGACTGCAGCCTTCTAAGAGCCACTGAGCCAGAGCCACTGAGCCAAGCCACTCTGGGTTTCCTGACCCTAGAAACTGAGAAAATAAATGGTATTGTTTTAAGCCACGATGGTGTAAAGTACTTTGGTGTTCAACAATGGATGACTAATAAACTTCTCTATTTCTGTCTGCCACCCACACTGTGATTGGTTCAGAGCCTTAATCAGATAAAAGGAAGTATGGCAAGTATGGATGGGTGGCAGGATTGGTGTTTCTATGGAGTTAGTGGCTGGTGCTGGGTGGTGGGGATTGGAACCAAGACAAGAAGAGGAGATCCAGATTTCTTTCCCAGGCTATTTCTGAGCCTCGGTAAGCTGTTGCCTTCTGCTTACATGCCTGGCTGGCCCAGCCCACCCTGACCACATGTGCAGGAAGAAGGGAGACTAAAGCCATTTAAAACTTCCTCTTTGGTTCTCAGACACCTTCTCTTAAGACCCTTTCCCATGGCAGGTTTTTATGATGCTAAGATTGGAGAAGTCCAAGACTCTTTTCCAAAGGGATAGTGTGATTTCCCAGAAGCCAGGGTTAGACCTCGTTGGGAAGGGAGGGCTGGTCTTATAAGGAGGGCAATGACTGGGGGATCCCATGTGGCACAAGGGCCTTGCACATTGCAAAATCCAACTTCACTTGCAGAGAGGTCCATACAGCCACTATGTCCTGCCCCCAATCATTTCAACTCCAACTACAGGGGGAATGAATATTCTTCCCACGGCATTCTGCTTCGACCTCACTATTTTAGGACGCTTTCACTAGGGCCACTTGATCCCTCAACCCTTTAATCTGTATAGGTGGCTCTCAATGAGGGATGACTGGCAGTGTCTAGAGATATTTAGGTCATCACATAGGGCGTGGAGTGCTCCTGGAATCTGGAGGGTAGAGGGATGCTGCCAAACATCCCACAGTATCCAAGACCATCCCCTACAACTGGTCCAACATAGTAACCAGTGGCACGGTTGAGAACCCTACTCTAGAAGGTGGCCAAATGCCAGCCAGTCCACCACCACACCTCATTTGCCTAGGTTGTGAGAAGTGAAGTACGTCGCTTCCCAGCTGCGGGCCTGGATGGGGCCACATGTCCTCAGGGGCCTGGACAGCTGCAGACACTAATATTAGCCCTGGGTGACCCTGAGAACACTTGGCTTCTCCTGACTGAGAAACCAAAGCAAGGGGACTTTTTCCAGGGATTCTGCTAAATAAAGATCTATGATATTTGCAGGGATTTTTTCATTTTAAAAACTACTGGTGTATATATGTGTGGCTTTGGAGGTGAGTGGGGAGGGTTGGTTGAAAAAATACAGGAGCCTATGAAGGAAAAGCCAGTCATGTCTATTCCCTTTAGTAATACAGAAGATAATTACCCGTCTATGGAAACATTGCCTAGATTTGTGCTTTGAACTATCCTTTGAGCAAGAGGGGACAGATTTGTGCCAAATGATCCTCACTCTGTCTGGGTATCACCCAAGTCCATGAGGCCAGAACCATTAACAGCAAAGAGTGTGGTCTGTAACTTGGGGACAGAGCAAGGTCACGTCAGGTCCTGTATGGATAGCGAGCCCATGATTTCAGATCTTCACATAATGCTGAACAAATGGCTTGTCAACCTGCATTATGCAAATGATTATGAATGCTTTCACAGGTTGACACATGCAGATCCAGCCTCCCATCAGAGAGCCCAGCAGGCTCATTTATGGGGGCTTCTTGAAGCCTCCCATTGGTAAACTGCATGCTCTGAGGTACCTGAAGACTCCACAAAAGGCTGAAGTCTTCTCTTCAGGGAAAATCAGAGTCCCAAGGCACAGGTGGCCAACTGCCTTTTCCAAGCTCCTGGAGGTGTCAGCAGATCGCTGTGCATCTGACCTGTCAGCTCAGCGGGACTGTCAGCTGCCCCTCAGTCACCATCCACTGCCGAGAGCCAGGCCTCCCTCCTTACCTCACAGGCAAACAGCTTGAACTGCAGCCCCAGGATCTTGTAGTCTATCAGCTGGTTCCCCCGAAGCTGTGTCAAGGCCTCTTTAAGGTCTTTAATAGCTGCATCATATCTGCAGGACAGAGACGGGGGAAATAAATCCATCCCAGGTGCAGAGAAATAAATGTAAAATGAAATGCCCGTCTGCTTCCCTTTCCCCATCCATCTCACCGGGACAAAAGCCTTTCCAAGTCCTTTGCCCTGCTGACCCCGGTGTCCCCAGGGCTGTACACCATGGCTGCTCTGGGTGTCCCCAGGCTGGGCAGCCACAGGTAATTTTCTTCTCTCTTGTCTGCACATGACTCTGCCTTTCTAACCACCAGCCTGTCACTCTCCCAGAGGGACCCCCCTTTCTCCCCAGAGCTGCAAGCAGAGCCAGCACCTGTGCCCTCATGTCCCTTGGGAGCTGCCTGGGAGCCTGCTCGCTTCTGGCTCCCCACCAGAAGGCCAGGCCAGCCTGACGGCTCCGAGGGGCCCCTTCTCACAGCTGCCGACGTCACCTTTCTGCCCACAGCCTTCCTCAGCTTCTTCTGAAGCCATCTTAGCTCTTGGTTTTGTGGGCTTCTTAGTCTCCTCTTCCTTCCCTCCTCCTCCACACACTTTGGAAAAAAGGATAAAGAAACCACCCCTCCAGCTGGGTAGCATGGCTAAACCCCTGCTGGTGCTGCTCTTGGCTTCACTGCGCCTGACTGCTCAGGGTGGAGTGGGCCACGGTCGCTTGATTCGTGGCAGAGGATGGAGCTGCCCACATGGACAGTGCCCATGCGGGTATGTGCAGGACCGGGTCTCCTTGGCCTGCCGGACCACCACAGGGGGCCTGGGGAGAGGGAACCATTGCTGGGCTGCAAGGCGTGGGAGCAGCACAAAGAAGCTACCGTACCCCCCCAGCCCCCCAGCCCAGAACAAATTTGACTGTCAGGTTGTGGCAACCACCCAGGCAAGTGAAGCAGAAGTCCCTAGGCCACTGTCTGCCCCGGAGCCACCTTGCATGGCTTCTCTTGGAGGCAAGTCTGGAGTTTGGATACAGGCTGGTGGAGCCCTCAAAAGGTGTTACAGTGCAGTGAAGGCACCTTAGGACAAGGGCCAAGAGGCTGGGACCAGATCCATCAGCTCTGCCATTAACTGCAAGATCCCAGCAAATTACTTCCCTGGCCTCAGGTTCCATGTCAATAATACAAGGAGTGCATTGTGCACCAGGAGCATATTATATTCCAGGACCATATAATATGAGGAGCTTGCAGGAATGTGGCCCTGGGTCTAATTCCTGCAGTCAAAGCTGTACTTGAGTCCTGGCTCTGTCACTTACTATCTAGTGACAAAGGGCAAGTTATTTCTCTATTTCCTCATCTTTAGAATTACAGACTAATAATGGCACATGCCTCACTGTATTCTTGTGAGAACTAAATGAAATGAAGTATCCAGGTGCTTAGGGTGGTACCTGGCATGCACAGAAATTTACAACTATTATTATTATTATTATTACTTTTTTCAGCTGTAAAACCCTAGCAATTAAATTCATAGACCAATCATTTATTGTCTGCCTACTTAATACACTATATTGCATTAGGTATTATCAGGAGATAAAAATACATGTTTTTAGGATCTGGAATTCTCATCTCAGGGAAACTTTGAGCTGATGAAGAGGTCGGCTGGCCAAGAGAAACCTAAGGAACATGTACCCAAGGTGGCTGGGGCAGAAGCTAGTTATTCTGTCTCCAGGTGCTTTGAAGTTACTCACACAGCCACAGTGGCTAGAGGAGAAGGAGAGAAGACAGGCGGGGTTTGAAGCCGGAGTATGGCTTTCATGTCGTCAGTAAAGGTGATTGTAAACCTATTAAAAGCGTGCAGGCCATTTGGCAAGAAGCAGGAAGTTGTTCACACAGCCTTCCCAGCCTTCCTGGGAACGGGGAGCGGTAAGCATCCTTGTTCCTTCTTTCTAAGCCAGAAGATTGGGTGCCAGGCTCCGATTCACTGAGCCAGGGAGTGGAAGGGAGCAGGTGGAAACGCAGGTGTCCTGTTCCTGGGCAGATAAAGTTTCCTCTGTGTTCTACTGCCTGTGTGTGAGAAGGTCCTAAGAGGGCACGCCCCGAGCACTGTCAGCATTAACCTGTGAATGTGGCTTCCGCCCAGGCAAGCTGGCTTAGCAGATGGATTTCAGCTGGAAGTAACACTGCTTGTGTCTTCCTAGCATTGAATGAACCCTGTGAGGTCCTTCTCATGACTCTCCTGTCCATCATGATGTGTAAAGATCTGGCTTCAGTGGGAGCAATAAAGAACAAACTGACAAATTATTCAAAGTGCTTTGTGTTAAAAAACGGGGTGGGGGGCCCCACTGCCAAGTGTCTGTTTTTAGATGTGTCTTTGAAAGCATCCCCCTGACTGCGTGCTGCAGGCCTCTCCTCACCCCCCGACTTGTTTACCCGGAGCTGCACCCCTGGGGCATCTCTGACGCCCAACTCTGTTTCCAGCTGCGCTCTGTCTGAATAAGCTCAGTGTGAAATTCCAAAATCGCATTCAGCCTTGTGTGCCCATGGGCTCTGCCACGGCAGCCCCTGCCTGCCTCCACCCCGACTTCAGTTCTCTTTGGTGCCGCTTGGAATCCACAGGGTCCCCTAGGAGGTCAAGGTGCTGGCAGTTTCCTGCCAGGCTACCCTGGGCTGAGCCTGAGTACTTTCTTCAGGCCCACAGCTGGTGACAGCCTCCAGGAGCCTTGGCTGTGCCAGACCCAGAGCCTCCCACTGCCTCCAGGCAGGAGCCCGCCAGTGCAGTGGCTGTGGCCTTTCACACACTCTGAGCTGCCAGGGTTCTATAGCCCTCATGCTTGTAATACTCCCTGCAAAGGTTTCTCAGGAACCACTGGTGTCCCTGATTGTTCCTGCCCTACCATGCCCCATGCTGTCTAGAATCCTATTTGTCCCAAGGGAAATGTAGTTTTATTTAGCAAGCTGGAAGAAGTAAAAATATTAAACACTTCTAGGACAGGGGTGGTGGGTCGTGTCCTTTCCCTGTTCAAAGACAGTAAGGAAAAGGCTTTCCTGTGTTGTCCCGTTAGGCCACCTTCCCTATATGGTCTTGTTATTGCCACAGCTCCGAGTCTGAGGCCCAGGATTAGAAATGCAACTTGGAGTTCCCTTCCCCTTTCAGATGATGAGGCTGGGGTCAGAGGTGAGAGTCTGACCACAGTCATCACTGAGATGCCACCTGCCATCTCAGAAACACACTCTAACTTTGTCCTGTGGAACCTTATAATGTCAGGATTGTTACACAACACCACAGGAAATTGGGGGAAACACCTATAACGCCATCACCCTAAAACCAGCATCCTTCTGACCTGAAGGAATTCCTAGCCCACTCATTAAGTACTAACTTTTTGAGGTCTCCAAGGACACTTATTTTACAACATCTCTTAGGGAACTTGCCCGCTCTGCCTTGCATTATAGTCACTAGTCTTTGTAACCTTTTCCCCCTTTTAATAATTTCCTTAAAGCAGAGGCTCTATTTTGCCCACACTTTCATTTAATTAATTCAATAAGCATGGATTAACTACTCTCCTAGATACTAAAATGTAAGAGTGAATAAGTAAAGATTTCTTCTCTCCAGAAACTCAGAGTAGTGGAGGAGACAAATATAGAAGCAGCTATCAGCCACAGAGCAGACAAATTTATAAAACAAGGCACAAAGGAAATGGGTGCCGCCCCAGTGGTTGAGAGCGGCTGGGCAAACGTGTGGAGGATGAGTGGGTGAGTGGGCAGCGGAGGGGCCGTGCAGGGACAGGTGAGGGAATTTGGCCTGTATCCTGCGGTAATGGAATCCAATGGCAGTTCTTAAGCAGATCACAATTGTTTTTTTAGAAGATTACTCTGGAATATGGGTGGAGAAGACAAGAGTAGTGGCCGGGAAATCAGGGTAGAAGTGATTGCAGTAGTCCTGGTGAAAAATGAGGGTCTAGATCAGGGCATAGCTGGTGGGAATGGAGAGAAGTGGGTGGATTTAAGAGGTCAATTTGACAGGTTTAGGAAAAGAGACATTCTGGGTTGAGCCCATGCTGAGATTTAGCAGCTGGTTAGTGGCCGGCAGAGATGAAGACTTGAGAGAGGGTGTGATCCCTAAGGATTCGCACATGGATTTTCAGGAGACACTGAACCCCCTGAAATTGCACATATTATGTATTTGCTTGTCTGGAAAGATAACCCATAAGTGTTGCCATTTAACAACCGCTGCTATGGGGTCCAAGGGTAGAGGGTCGAGGGCAGAACCTTGGCGGCTGAGGCCAATGACTGAACAAAAGAAAAGGAGGCAGCTCAGGGCCAAGAGGAGTGGCCCACTCGTGATTTCCTCCATAGACAGCTGTTGAATTAAAGATAAAATTTGGTAGTTTTTTCTGTCAGATTTAACAATAATCAATCTCAGAATAATGGAATCCCGGCTCCTATTCTTAGACATTTCTAAGATCTTTCTGACTCACTCAAAATCCAGATTCTGGGACTTCTGGGAATTTTCTAGGAGAAATTTCTTCTGGGAGCTCCCCCCACTCTGCCACTGCCTGTCCTCATTATAGACTGTTAGGGCTGATGGAAGGATGGCCTTAGAGTCTTTGAGATTTAAGATCAACTGGAGGCCTCCCTGCATATTGTGTACTTCTGGAGAAGGTCAGGGATCAGGGAAGGGGGGCTGAGAAGGAGACAGATATTGAGAAGGGAGACAGAAGCATGATAGGCCTGAAAGTTAAGTGCACAGCTGTCCATCTCCTCTCAGTCCCAGGCCTTCTCTGTGCAGATGGCTCCTGTGTGTCTGGGTTTTTCTCTGGGAGGACTTCCCTCTTGCTCTCTCTGGTTCATGGGCTGACTGTATCTCCATCTTGAAAGGCGTCTGAGCTTACTGTTGTCCCTAGCAACTGCTGAGCACAGCGACTTTATAGGCTGTGTTGCTGACTAAATCCAAGGATCTAAGCCTTTCAAGACTTGCACAGGCTCAGAGCTCAGGCCCCTTCCCTGTGCCTGGACTCTCTCTGCAGCCTTCCTGCTGCTCCACCAATACCTTGCCTCACTACACATACATGCACACACACACACACACACACACACACACTGACCACACCATGCTCCAACTATTTTTATTGTTTGAGAATTCTTCCTTAGCCTGAGCCGAATTCTTCTTCCCCAGAACTTGTGCACACTAATGGAATACTTTCTACAAAGGGCCAGTTTACCATCTCTTAAAACATTTTAAATTGATGCTAAGAATACTTTTCCTGTTATTTGTATGGTTGTTGCTGGGTATCTCGAGGGAGGGGAGCAGGCTTTCTTTTCTATTTATATTTTGTATTTATTTTATTGTCATTTTTTATTTATCATTTTTCTATTTGCTCTGGAAACTTTCATTTTTCTATTTAGTTATATTTTTACTAATTATTTCATATTGATTGTAAATGCATCAAAAACTACAGATAGTCTGGTATCAGTAATCTCAAAAGAAAATGAAAACTATAATGTCACCACTGAGAGAGAATTGCTGACAATGTTTGGTTCATGCCCTTACAGACTATTCTGTGAAACAGAATATAGGATTGTGCTATACATATTGTTTTAAAATCTGTGTTTTAAATTTAACATCTACTGTGAATTTTTTTCTGTATTTATATATGTGCTACTTATTTATCTGTATTAATAGATATTCTTATACATATACTATTAATGGTTCATATTCTCATTTTGGTGGCTAAATTATATTCATTGAGTGCATTAAACCAGGCTTTTTCTTTTTGTAATATGGTTGCAGGATAGTCTTTATTGTTTGACAGCTCACTATCCCAGAATAGTAGACCACCACATGCGTTCCCTTGATGGCCCAAATACTGACAACCTATACTGCCTGGAATGTGCCTCATTAAGGACACTGGTGAGGTGCCATTCCTGCTGAATACCAGGCTTGTGGTGGTTAGCAGGCTCATTGTGAGCCATGACACAGTTGATTTACAACCAGGCAGTAGACCAGCCTTCCCTCCCCAGGGAGGGCCTCTGCTTTGTGCTGATTTATTGCATAACTGCCCAGGGAAGGTCCAGTCACACTTCCCAACAGCGGCTGGGAAGATACTTCTCAAACACTAAGTCTAGCAGCACGGAGACCCCTTCTGGGTTTCTCACGAACTTCCCCTGCTTGTGCAACACTGGACCACTTACTTCTCCATCCGGTAGTAGAGCATCCCTCTTTGGAAGTAGGCCACGGCCAAGTGCTTATCTCGGTTAATGCTTTTGGTGAAGGCCTGCAGAGAGAAGCGGGGTCCACACGTGGTCAGAGAGCCAGGCTTGAGGAGGTGTGAGATGAGTCAGAGGATGGAGCAAGGAAGGTCCATCTATTTTAAGCAGGCCAGGGGGTGGATGGCAGCCCCCACCTCCTCTTGGGGGCCTGCCAAGGGGCTGAGCAAATAGCACCACAGATTCCAAGGGCTGCTGGAGACAAAGTGCACATTGTCGGAGAGAGGATGGAGCAAGGAAGGTCTCAGCCCACCAGTGAGAATGGCTGGTGTCTCGAGGGTACAGAAAGCTTAGGGGTCAGAACACCCTGTGTTGTCACTTCCTCATGGCCTGGCATGAGGCAAGTTGTCTAATCTGTTTGAACCTTAGTTTTCTTCTCTGTAAAATGGGGATGTTAATGCCTTTCGAGATTGCTGACAGGCTTAAAATAATACAAGTAATTAAGTATGAAAATAACATAATTAAAATGTTTTATATGGTATTACATTTGTTTTTTATATAAATGTAGTAGAAATACATTATACAATTAAAATAATAACAAATAGAATGCATATAAAAGGACAGCAGCAAGGACTCACGTGGGAACTAAACACAGGCAGTGAGAACGAGAAGCCAGAAGCAGAGGCCAGGAAAAAACAGAGCAGCAGGAGGAAGGCATGGGAATGGGCGAACCTAGAGGTGAGCGGTGGCTGCACTGCCTGGCCAAGGAGCCCCACCAAGGCAGGAGCAAAGAGCCCCGCTGGCATGGCTGTGCCCAGACGGTGGCTGTGCTTTGCAGCCTCCTCCCCTCGACAATGTGCACTTTGTCTCCAGCAGCCCTTGGAATCTGTGGTGCTATTTGCTCAGCCCCTTGGCAGGCCCCCGAGAGAAGATGGGGGCTGCCCTCCCCCCCCTGGCCTGCTCCTGTCCGCCCTCTCCGGGGTCTGAGATGGCCTCAGGCAGTGAGGGTTTTCCAAGTGACTTCTCCCCTCTCTCTTTGCTCACTGCTGGTCATGGTGAGGATGGCTGTGGGAGGACCTGGCTCTCTAAGGTTCTGGGAGTCTGTCATCTGTCCACATGGCCTAGCAAAGACTGGCAGTAAAAGGTTAAAAAAAAAAACTCTCATATTTACACAGTGGTGTGAAATGACACAGCACTTTAATAGTACCTTACTTAATTCTCATGATGTTTAACCTCACAAGAAACTGAGGCAGAAGCCTGCATGACTTGGTGAAAAGGACCCATCCAGGAGAGGCGGAGCTGGCATTTGATCCCAGACATTCTGCTTCCAAACCCTCCCTCTCCAGCCTACCATGACCAGTTCAAAAAGGAATTCTGGAGAATGCTGGGCCCTGAACTAGGGGATACGAGAAAAATATTTGAAAAGGATGCTGAGACACCCCACATGGTGCCCTTGGCAGACCTCATTAATCAATCACAGTACGATTTCCTTCCACAAGCCTCAGAATCCTTAAAAAGTCCTTAAAAGCCCCTCATAATTGATAAGAATTGTCACTTGAGATGAAACCTTTTTTTTTTAAAGTGCCTCTTCTTGACCTGCTGGGCAGACAAATCTCACACACGTGAAATTCTTAGACAGCAAAAGAATTTATAATCAGGTATGAAGCAGTGAACAAGAGATCATGTGGTCAGTAGGCAATCATGAAGCAAAACGTAACTAGGGGAGTTGTCATAAACGTGTCAAAGAATGATTCCAGAATGATTTGAATTTAATAATGGAGAAGAAAGGAGAGCGTGACTCCAAGCTAGAGGTTCCTGAGCAGGCCACCCTTTGTAACCACTGGGGAGCTTTTAAAAACCCTGGCTGCTCAGGCCCCTCCCCAGGCCAATTAAATCAGGATCTCTGGGGTAGGGCCTGGGCAGCTTTTGTTCTTTTAAAGCTCCCGAGGGCTTCTAAAGTGCGGGCTGGGTTGAGAACCACCAATTAGAAGAGCCCGGGGGGGGAGTCTTGTCTAGGAGAGGCGCCTCCACTCACCTTCTCCGCCTCTGGCATGTTGCCCAGGATCATGTGCATGCAGCCAATGTTGAAGCAAATCCTGGAGTGGGGGTCCTGGACTGTGTCAAAAGCGTGTAGGGCTCCCTTCCAGTCCTTCTTGTCGGCGGCCAGCACCCCTTCATTCCAGAGGCTGATGGCCTCAGCCAGGGACATGGTCAGGTGCAAAGCAGGCGACTGTGAGGGCTGCCAGGACACAGGAACTGGTGAGCAGGTGTCTCTCCCAGGAGGGCTGTCCCAGACTTCCACTTGCCTGACCCGGTGCTCAGAATGTGGTCTGGCCTCCCTTAAGACAACTTCTCAGTGTTGCAAAGGCATCAGGAAATGTCCCCACCTTCTGGCAACTGACGCAGAACGCTACCCTGAGAGAGAAAAGGAAAGAGACAGAGAGAGAGAGGACAATTGGGGGCGGACTGTGGAGGAGAGAGGAAGTACCTCAGATACTGTCTGTGAGAGATCACTTCCCCAAAATGCTTCTGCTAGGCACCCAGCTCATCCTCTCTGTCTTCTGTGGCAGTTTCTGCTCAGGGCTATGCCCAAGGCTCAGGGCAACCTGCACAGGTCTACCCACCTCCCCCGGCCTCAGTTTATACATACTTGTTAAAGGAGGGTGTTGGGTGAGAGGGTAGTTCTTTCCAGTCTTAAATGAATTATTTGCTCACTTTCTCATAACTTTATAGAGCATCTTAGTGATTTGTTTATCTTGAGCTAAATTAGCAATAAACAGCTGAGACAGGATGGGTGTACATCTGGATCTGAGATAACTTTTATGAACACTTAGGAAGCTCAGAAGGGATCAATTTCCAGAAAATGCCAAAATTAGGAGCCAGATATGAGAGTGACTTATGACTTTTCTCTCCTGTGGAAAACTGGAAGGGAAAGGGGTCTCAATGATGACTAATACATTTACTAGTTCCAATAGATAAAATGCAGGTTTATGAGGGTGAACCACTTAGATGCCAACTCTTGTTCTGTAACGACTGGAAAAACTCAGCAGTTACCACCCAGCTTCCCTAAGAGACCCCAAATAAAACTTAAAAACGTCCATTCTATAGGACCGATAGGATGGAATGTGTGAGGACCAGGAAGACCTGCGTGTGTCTCTTTGCACAGAGCATTCCCCGTGTTTGGAAAGCCTCCCCACCTTACACCTTTGCCTGGCAAACTCCTGCTTGTCCGTTAAGGCCCAGTTAAATGTCACCACCTCTCTGAATTCTAGCCCCACGTTCTGGGTCGCAGAGAGAATCTGCCCCTCCTTTGTACTACCTCTTACATATTTGTTGCAGTTTATCTCTTCATCTACTGAAGTCCTAGACTGGCCCACTGCCTTTCATTCTAGGATCCCGGCACCAATATTCAATAAATGATGAAGGGATATATTCTAAGAAGTTAGAAATCACTCCAAATGACCTGCAGGTAGCAGTGGTGCCAGGAAGAGATCTCATGAATAAAGAGTCAAAACTTGATTAGCACATTGATCATTCCCAGGAAAACCAAGGGGTTCGGTAGCTAAGCTAGGCTTTATTTTAATACCCCTCCCCCCTGTTTTCATTTTATTCTCCCAGCTGGCCACATGGACCTCTTCTCAATTGGATCCCCATGACTTTTCTGGCCTTATTTCCCGGAACATCCCTTCACAAAGCCTCACCCTACTACTTGCTCCTCGCCCTCTGGGCCTTCATTTCCTGCCCCTCTACTTTGGCCCACACTGGTTCCTCTCCCTGGGCTGCCTTCCCATGCCAGCACCTTCAGATCCACCTTGCACAGCCTTCTGCCCTACTAATATCACCTTCCTGCAGAAGCCACCCTGAAGTCAGGCGCATCCTCAAGCCCCCAAACCCGTGGTCTTGCATTCCTCGGAACTTCCTCGTGGCACTTAGTTGCTCTCCACCAACGTAGAGTTAGGTGTGTGCGCGCACGTCTTAGCCCCTTGAATAGACTGTACACTCCGGGAGAAGTCCTGGACCTCTCCATCCTTGAACCCCCGCAATGCTAGCAATGCCGTGCATTCTCAGTTCTGTCCACCCTCTCGCCATCCCTCCTGTCTCCAAACCACCATCACTAGTGGATGAGAATAGTTTCCTACCATCTTGCCTTCCACACACTCCACATAGCAGCAAGACAGATCACACCCTGCCCCGTCTGAAAAGCTTCAGTGCCTTTGCCCTGCTATTAGGATGCAATGCAAACTCCTTCCCAGGTGCAGGAAGGACCCTGCCTGCGGCCCCACACTCAGGCCATTTCTCCTCCTCCCTCCCTCCTTCCTGGTGCCGCTGCTCTGGGCTCTGAACTTTCATGTTCTCCTGTGAGCCAGACCTGTTCCGTCTGCCTGGAATGTTCAAGCCCCTGCCCGGCTGGTTCCTGCTCATCTTTCACTTTCTTGGAGTGGCCTTTCTTGATCCATGACCTCTCTATGGTCACCCTGTTATCTCTCCCACAGCACACAGATCTCTCCAGCCACCACATTTGTCATAGTTTGTAACTGTATATCATCTGTGAGATTATTCTGTCCCCCAATGCAGAGGTAGTCATTACTGCTGTCTTTAATTACCGCAGTCATTGATACTGTTAGTCGATGGCCTTTTCAGCATCACCTCACTCCCCACCCTTCTTTTGGTAGAACCCCAGTTCTGTTCAAATCTCTACTTTTCCTGAGGCCATGTGCTTAGGAGAAAAGCCCCCAACACTGCCCCAGGGAGTGCGGTTCTGACTGGTTTAGGTACAAGCATGAGCTATAATTCATGTTAATAAGATGTTAGAAATCTGCTGAGGGCTTCTAGGAAACATTTTTTCCTTTCTGATAAAAAAAGTATGGTTGGGGTATAGGATGCATGTATCCATCCCTTAATCAAAATGAGGGCATGTACAATGCCTATTCTTTTAAGAGACTCTCACCTTAAGCACACTAGAGACCAGGATCATTTTTATCTCCGTACCCTTTATACCCACAGTATCTAGCACCACAGAGGTGGGCACTCAGTACAAGTTTGGTGAATGAATTAATGAATGAACACATACTGATTGAAGCTCTGAATCCTGGGTAGGACAGGGATCTTCTCTATAAAATGGTTCTTTGACTTTTTTCTGCACATATGCACCCTGCTCATCCTTGAAAGCCAGGTTTAGACTCATCTCCTACATTAACCTTTCCTGACCTCAGCAATTGTCATTTTTCTGAATTCTTCTAGCATTTATAATCTAGACTCCAAAACACAAGTACTCTATGTCACATTACCTATTTTCTACCTTACCTATTCAGCTAGCTGCAAGCTCTTTGAGGGCATGGAGTATGCTTTCTCATTCTTTACTTTTCCGTGGGACTTAGCACTTCCCATCTAGATAGAAAAATTAATAAATATGTCCTGGTTTAAAAATTACTTTAAATTAATTGGATTCTAGTCCTGCACATCTTCTAACTTCCTCCTTTCGGATGCAATTTACCTTTTCAGTCAGGTGTCTTCTCTTCATACTACACACCCACTAAATGTGATTTAGCCACAGAGCCTGGGATGCAGTTTGCATTTCCTTAGACACACTTGGTACCCCATGGGTCTTTCTCTCTAGGTCAGTTGGGTCTCTGGATAATTTTATTCATGTGTTGCTTCAGTACATTTCCATCCGGCAAGCAGAATCCCATGTCAGTGGGTATCTAAGGGGAAATGCTGCATTACATAGGACAGTAACTGATATAGAAGGAGTAGAAACTGACCATGTCAAATACAAAAAAGGGGGCAAAAAAGTGCAGAGGAGTTAGAAATTAACCTTACATTTAGCAAAATAGAATTTTTCGATTCTCTATTGCTTCCCCTATAGTGTTCCTAACAACAATTAAAACAGTGTCTGGACATCTAAGTATTTTTTGAGTGAATGAATGAGTAAGTGAATAAAGAATAGACACCCATGAGGTTGCGTTCCTCTCCCTCCTTCTCTAGGAACTGCCTGTCCCCATAGCTGGAGAGTAGGCCCTGTGGCCACATTTGCACTGCATGATTCCTGGCTGGTTGGGCCACAGTGGGCATCTGATAAGCTGGACTGATTAGGATCCGTCCTCTGTGAACTGGAATTTAGGACTGAGAGACAGCAGGCTCATCTCTTTGGGAGCTGGAGCCACGACATGTAAATCTAGGAGCGGTGGTTCTACCATGTTCTTCCACGAGGTCCAGGAAAGCAGAAAAAGCCAGCCTGCAATGAAAGAGAATAAAGCCGTTGCCTGGTGAGAATCAGAGACAAGAGACAGAGATGGTGAAAACCAATGACTTTTTAGCCCCCCTTTCCAGCTTTTCCTGAGGCCTGCCCAAATTCCTGCCATTAGCCTCTGACAGACACATGTAGGACCTTATCATGAATTTTGGTGTTTGCCCAAGTCTACTGTTAGTTTTGCTGTATGCCAAAAAACAGAAAGAGAGAGAGAGAGAGAGAGAGACCTCGCTAATAAAAAATGAAAAATAGATGTGCACTCCTGGCCCAAGACTCTAAAAAAAAAAAGAGAGATTGCTAAAGAGAGATGAGAAATTCTCAGAAACAAACATAACCATATAGAGTATGTAGGGATTCCAGAAATGAAGGAAATGGAGAGGCAGTGGGGCCCTGTAAACTCTCTCTGGAACCAGACATGTGCAAATGATAGAGGACATGGTTCCTGACCAAGGAAACTTCCAGATGCTGGGCAGATCACAGGCAGGGCACAGGGAAAGCTGAAGTCCAGAGTGAGCTGAGGTTGCAAAAACATACCAAGGGTAACACAAAGAGCTGCTTGGTACCAAGGAAGAGCAGGGAGGGTCACTGCTTGGTACAGATGGTGTCACTTTAACAGACGTCACGAGAAAGCAGGACTTCTCAGCTCCCACTTTGTTCCCGAGTTACCCAGGGAATGAAGACATAGAGGATGGGGAGAAAGCTGAGAGGTGCTTCAAGGACATGCCAGCTATCAAATCCAGATTAGTTGAATCCCAGGAACCCAAAGATTTTGCAGGTATGCTCCCTAAAATCTTGTCAGTAATGGACGCACTGTGAAGACTGGGATAGATGCTTGAAAGCTAGGATGGATGGATAAATGTGTTCTTAGTTTTCTAAAAGGCATGAATTCTAAAAATGACCTCAAAGATTTAACAGGTGATCCATGGAAAGAATTCTAAAATACAGATTATTAAACAATGCGCTTAAAAACAAAAAGGAAGCTGGGACCTTTAGCAACTAGCCTGCATTTACCAAGAACAGGTCAGGTCAAAGCAAACTCTTTTCCTTTCTTGTGAAGACTTTACTGATAGGTGGACTGGGAAGATGCCATAAGCAAATATTGAAAGATACTCGGCCAAGATATTACTTAGACAGGACAATTTAGATGATTTAGTTGGTTAAATATTATGTCCACAGAGTCT